CAAAAGTCCATCCAGTTCAACCAAAAAAAAAAGTTATAATCCTACACCCACAGTTGATCCAGAGGAAGGCAAAAAAAACAGCAAAGCATGATCCAATTTGCTTCTGCAGGTGAAACAATTCCTTCATGATCCCCTGGGAGGCAAACAGAGGCATACTCCCTAGATCAACTTTACCTATAAATGTTAGTAACCAGTTATATTGTTAAAGTGTTATAATAAGTGTTAAAGAAATTTGGTTTTCAAGGGCCCATATTTTCGGCCATCATGGCCTTATACTCCTGCCCATCTGCACAAATCTCCTGGTCAGAAACTTTCATATTACCTATGGCAACCGCAAAGGATGCCCACTCTCTCCCTCTATATTCAACCTTCTAATTGATCCCATAGCTGAAGCAGTACACTCCAACCCTCAGATTAAAGGGTTCCAAATAGGCCAAACCACCTATAATAAATAATCTATTTGAGGATATAATATTATTACTCACATCTCCAACTACTTCCCTGCACCATGCCCACCAATCCTTTTACAGTTCAGTGCCATTTTCTATTACAAGGTGATCTGCTCTAAATCTTTGATTCTCGACCTGTGTCTCTAAGACTCAAAAACAGTCCCTGCAAAAATCATTCTCTTACTCCTGGAGCTCTCATAGTGTTTCATATCTAGGCATCAAATGCACTCCTCGCACATCTCAATTGGCTACTTACAATTTTGACTCTCTGCATAAAAAGCTAACTCAGGAACTATCTTTATTGTCTAAATTCGAATTATCATGGTCGGGCAGCCTTGCGTCATTTAAGATGCTAATTCTCCCCCAAATACTCTATCTTTTCAGAATTTTAGCTATTCCGTTCTCAGCAAAACTACTCTTACTCAAAAATATGCTTAAAAAGTTTGTCTGGCAAGGCAAGAGCGCAAGATGCCAGCACTCGCTTCTACTTAAATGCTGGTAACATGGGACTAGTGAACATCAAGGATTATTATCTAGCAACACGTCTAGACCAGATTAAACATTGGATTACCCTGGTAGACCCTCTCCCCTGGGTAGAAATCGAAAGAACCCTCCTCCGAGCCCCTAATCTCTACACCTTGTTGATAACAGATCTATGGCATCCCTTTCCTTTGAAAGGTTTATCTCCACCCATTATGGCCTCTACTGTTGCATGCTGGCATGGAGAGCCCTGCATACTAGTCCTTATTCAAAGTGCTTTGATACTCCAGTGTATTTTCCCATTGAGGCTTTACCTTATAGCACACATTTCTATGTCATATTGGGCGTCTAAGGGTATCCGGTTGCTTAATGATATATTGATCTGGAGAAACTGAAGCAGAAAATTGGACTAATGTCTCCTGACCACTATACATATTATAGAATTCGACATCTTCTGAAGTATTCCCCACCCCCTGCTATAAAAATGCCTAAACAGCTCACCTACTTCTAAACGCAAGGGAATTTCTCTTATTTACTATTTACTGCAAGAGAAATTGATCCTCCATAAATCTAAACCATTTAAACTATGGGAGGAGGACTTAAATTCCTCTCTTTTTCCACCACACAGTGGACTCCTGCTTTGATGTCTATTCATAAAGCAATGCATTGTATATCACATTGGGAGTTAACCCAAAAAATTGCACTTCAAAAGGTATTTCACACCTCTACCCTTGGCCAAAATCTCTTCTGCACAGTCTTCTCCCTGTTGGAGAGGTTGCAGTCAAACTGGCAACCTCATACACATATTCTGGTCTTGCAAAAGCATTGTAAGCTTCTGGAAAAAGATATTCCACTTAATGTCTGAAATGACAGGATTAATCTTGGAATCTTCTCCACATTTTGCAATCTTGAATCTAGATATTGATAATATAACCCACTCTTTCTGCATAGTAGTCAAGCACATACTTCTGGCGGCCAAACTCATGATTGCTAAAAACTGGAAGGCCCAGTATGCTCCCAATCCCTGAGATGTGATCTCCCTTACCAAACTCCACCACTCATATGAACGCATCTTGGCAAAATGGAAAAGGAACCACTTGGATCAATAAAAGATAAAGCAGACTACAATAATTCCTGATTGTTACTGTTTGTCTAGTATTCCCAATGCTTAGAGAACTGGTGTACCAACTGCTATGCTAATATTACTGTTTCCTTTCATGCTTGTATGTTATGCTACTTTTGTTCATCCAGTGTTCCCGCTACTTAGAGCTTATTTGCTTATTGAATAAGCTCTGCATGGAGTGAAACTCATACAGCGTGTGGGATAGGTGGATCAATTTGTACTTGGAATACCTCAGTAAAGGTACACAAGGTTTTTGTACGGAGAGCAAAATATTTTCTTTTGTGAAGTGGACCTTTTTGAGTGGCAAGCAACTGCCAGAGGTTTGTACGCATTGTCAGAGGAGTGAAGGGGTGGTAAGCTTGCAGCCGGACAGAACACTGGTGTATATGGATCCTAATCTGCATACTTATTCTGGGTAGTGTTTTGAAACCATTAGATCAGTATGGCTGACAGAACTAGTATTTTCAATACCTCTTTACATTCTTTACTCTCTAAGTAAAGAATGTATAATAAGAGTTCTATATGAAATGTCCACTACAAAGTATTAAAAACGTAGTACAAAATATGGAATGGAGCATCTGTTGGGGTTGACACTAGCCCTCAATCAACCAAATGCCTCCTATCCTAAAGCAAGGATAATGCAGGAAAGTACCACATACGATGTAACAACCAGCACTCTTGCGTATAAGCCCCTGAATCAGGGTAGATAGGTCTGCAATCAATCAGTGGAGAATACAGCAGAGCAGGGGTCTCCAAACTTTCTAAAGAAAGCGCCAGTTTTTTGTCTTTCAGACTTTAGGGGGGCCAGTCTGTACCCAGTGGGAGTAAACAATGCCTGATCTTTGGTATTAGGGGGATAAATGGTTGGCGTCAGCGAAAGAATAATGCCCCATTGTTTGTGTTAGTGGCAGGAATTATGCTCCATTGCTGGTGTTAGTCACAGGAATAATGCCTCAAGGGCCAGATAAAGGCAAGCAAAGGGCCAAATCTGGCTTCAGGGCCGCTGTTTGGAGACCACTGCAGTAGAGATAGCATCATGAGAGGTGTAAAAGGGCCGCCATTGTGGACATACTTTTGAAAATGCTATTTGTCTGGCTGTGCCTCACTGACGATTTTTAAATCAGGGACTCAAGAACAAGTATGCTTTAAATGAGTGTCAATATTAGATATCTCTATTCCCGTTTCTGGTCAGCATCTCAGACAGCATTGAAGCCAAAGCATCTGCATGACAGCCAGGGAACTAGCATTCTCAAAAGGCTTATCCTATAAAATACACCAAGCAGTGAGGCAGTGATCTTATCTTTCACATAAAGGAATGTATGATAATATTCCACATTAAGTTCAAGAGAACCATCACATACAAACAAAATGTCTATGATATGGGCATATGAGATCAGTTTAATAAAGAGCAAATAATCCTTATGACTGTCACGTGCAGAATTTGTCCCGGAATATAAGTGTAGCCATTTAGGTAACAAGCCAGATGCCATCATGCTAAACACACAACACTCCTTATACGAGAATGTTATAATGTGAATTGATGTGGACATGGATACAGCTCAATACATGTGGCTGGTAAAGTGACATCCTGGCATGCCGTCATTGCTGCAATGAATATAAACTGTTAATGATGTCAGGCAGAGGAAAGTCTGTGTTGTGTCCCTTGTAATTACTACACTTAGATTTTACAGAATTAATTTCATAAATGAAAAATTTTTTTTTTTTAAAAAGTCACACTGTGACTGTAAGAAGCTTCTGCATCCTGGGCAAATTTCTGAGCTGCAAGTATAATTCTGCTATGAATGACCACAGTTCTGTATTGGACGGCTGTCATGTCTGACTTCTATTAATACAGTGGCACTATAAAAAAAGGAGGCTACAGATAATGTTAGAAAAAAATGATTCTTCAAAAATTAAAGAGAAAAAAACCCAAGTTAGGTCTCAATCACATAGGTCTCAAGCACAATACAGAATAAAGAATCATTTATCTCTTTAGACTAGCACAAAGCTGCATGCAGGCAGCCTAAATAGGTGAATTGTGACATGGACTCACTTGCACAGCCCAATTTGACAGGTATGCAGGGATGGGAGCATGGAGCCCTGATGCAGAGGCTGCCTGTTTTCCCATAGAAACATTACTTGCATAATTACAATTTATTACATAAGTCCTTCCAAAAGTAGTATTTCCATTAGGGAATCAGGGAAAGGCTAACCAAGTATTTATCCCGCGCGAGGGAAAGGTATATGGAACATATGTCCCTCCCAATCAACCACCTCACTTTATTCAGTTGTAGGTGCCAAATGGATTATCGGTACCAGTTCTGTTGGAGGGGTTGCACTTCTTTCAAAGCACTTAAGGGTACATGGGTTGGTATCGGCATGGCAGGTGAAAGCACACTTGTCAGGCCTGTTGTGCTAGTCCAATGTGGCCCTAGGTAAAATAGAAGGACACATTTTTTTTATTTTTCAAAAAAAAAAACCCTCAAAACAACAGATGAACCTTGCTAATGTTAAAACTGTGTAAAACTATAGATTGAGCACTATGGAAAGCTCTGGCTGGCACATTTGCAGCACCATACAGCTTGCTACACTTCTGACATTTGCTGAATGATGCATTGGTTGGGTGCACATTGTGACTGGCAAATAAAGGGGATGTTTGATTACATAACCAATATTGTTTACTTATTCACTATATATCTATATCGAACCTCAAGGGGAAGGCATAATCACAATGCAATCCATAAATAAATAAAAAAAGTCTAATCATACACTAGCAAACCAAATCTGTAAACCAACAAACAAAAGTAAACTATATAAAGTGAGATGACCCCAGAGACGGTAATATAACTGATAATATCACAATGTGTAAGAAATGTATTGCTTTAACCGCCTCCCGCCCGCCATATAAGAAAATGACGGACGCAAGGCGGTTCTCCCGTTCTGGGAGGATGTCACCGATCAATAGAAAGAGCCCAAGACGTTGGCTCGCTCATGTGATCAACTGTGTCCAATCACAGCTGATCGCATGTAAATAGGGAAATGCCGATTATCGGCATTTCTCTCCACACGAGCTGTCATGCATTCCTCAGAGGGGACATGTACACTGATGATCAGTGTGCCCTGATGATCAGTGTAGCCCCAGAAGTGCCACCTGTCAGTGTCCCTCAATGCCACCTGCCAGTGCCCATCAGTGCCACATCAATGCCACATATCAGTGCCTACCAGTGCACATCAATGCCACATATCAGTGCCTACCAGTGCACATCAATGCCACATATCAGTGCCAGTCAGTGCCACCTATCAGTGCCAGTCAGTGCCGCCTATCAGTGCCAGTCAGTGCCGCCTAACAGTGTCACCTATCAGTGCCATATATGAGTGCTGCCTTTCAGTGCCCATCAGTGATGCCTGTCAATGCCCATCAGTGCCACCTACCAGTGCCTCCCCACCAGTGCCCATCAGTGCAGCCTATCAGTGCCCATCACAGCAGCCTCATTACGCACATCAGTGAAGGAGAAAAAGCACTTATTTACAAAATGTTATAACAAAAACTAAGAAAAAACTTTTTTTTCAAAATTTTCAGTTGTTTTTGATTTGTTTAGCAAAAAAATAAAAAAACCCAGAGGTGATTAAATACCACCAAAAGAAAGATCTGTCTAAAAAAAAATAAAAAAAATGTCATATGGGTAAAGTGTTGCATGACCGCGCAATTGTCATTCAACGTGTGACAGCGCTGAAAGCTGAAAATTGTCCTGGTCAGGAAAGGGGTATAAGTGCCCTGCAGGCAAGTGGTTAAGGTGGTTCTAAAGGCCCTCCTTCTTCCTACAAGTGCCCCCTCAGCAAGCTGGCTTCTGTGGGGGCACTTGTGCGTACGCCCTCCCGAGCCGGGCTGTGTGCAGTCATAGACACAAACAGAACAGTTTGGCCACACTCCCCACTCTCTCATTACAGTATTTGAGAAGCCTACTGATCCAGTTGTTCTCAGTGATGCCTGAGAGAAGATGAAGAGAGAAGACCTGTAGCCACATATAGAACTGGATCGATAGAGGAAGTGTGTAGAGTGAAGCAGGGGAATAGTTATTGGGGTGATTTTTTTTTACCTAAGTCAGGAAATGCATTAAGGTGAAAAACACTGAAACTTTAGAACCATCCTACTTCCTAATATATGGCTTATACAGTCAGGTCCATAAATATTGGGATATCGACACAATTCTAACATTTTTGGCTCTATTCACCACCACAATGGATTTGAAATGAAACGAACAAGATGTGCTTTAACTGCAGACTGTCAGCTTTAATCTGAGGGTATTTACATCCAAATCAGGTGAACGGTGTAGGAATTACAACAGTTTGCATATGTGCCTCCCACTTGTTAAGGGACCAAAAGTAATGGGACAGAATAATAATTATAAATCACTTTTTTAATACTTGGTTGCAAATCCTTTGCAGTCAATTACAGCCTGAAGTCTGGAACGCATAGACATCACCAGACTCTGGGTTTCATCCCTGGTGATGCTCTGCCAGGCCTCTACTGCAACTGTCTTCAGTTCCTGCTTGTTCTTGGGGCATTTTCCCTTCAGTTTTGTCTTCAGCAAGTGAAATGCATGCTCAATCGGATTCAGGTCAGGTGATTGACTTGGCCATTGCATAACATTCCACTTCTTTCCCTTAAAAAACTCTTTGGTTGCTTTTGCAGTATGCTTTGGGTCATTGTCCATCTGCACTGTGAAGCGGCGTCCAATGAGTTCTGAAGCATTTGGCTGAATATGAGCAGATAATATTCCCGAAACACTTCAGAATTCATCCTGCTGCTTTTGGCAGCAGTCACATCATCAATAAATACAAGAGAACCAGTTCCATTGGCAGCCATACATGCCCACGCCATGTCACTACCACCACCATGCTTCACTGATGAGGTGGTATGCTTAGGATCATGAGCAGTTCCTTTCCTTCTCCATACTCTTCTCTTCCCATCACTCTGGTACAAGTTGATCTTGGTCTCATCTGTCCATAGGATGTTGTTCCAGAACTGTGAAGGCTTTTTTAGATGTCGTTTGGCAAACTCTAATCTGGCCTTCCTGTTTTTGAGGCTCACCAATGGTTTACATCTTGTGGTGAACCCTCTGTATTCCCTCTGGTGAAGTCTTCTCTTGATTGTTGACTTTGACACACATACACCTACCTCCTGGAGAGTGTTCTTGATCTGGCCAACTGTTGTGAAGGGTGTTTTCTTCACCAGGGAAAGAATTCTTCGGTCATCCACCACAGTTGTTTTCCGTGGTCTTCCGGGTCTATTGGTGTTGCTGAGCTCACCGATGCGTTCCTTCTTTTTAAGAATGTTCCAAACAGTTGTTTTGGCCACGCCTAATGTTTTTGCTATCTTTCTGATGGGTCTGTTTTGTTTTTTCAGCCTAATGATGGCTTGCTTCACGGATAGTGACAGCTCTTTGGATCTCATCTTGAGAGTTGACAGCAACACAGATTCCAAATGCAAATAGCACACTTGAAATGAACTCTGGACCTTTCATCTGCTCATTGTAATTGGGATAATGAGTGAATAACACACACCTGGCCACAGAACAGCTGAGAAGCTAATTGTCCCATTACTTTTGGTCCCTTAACAAGTGGGAGGCACATATGCAAACTGTTGTAATTCCTACACCGTTCACCTGATTTGGATGTAAATACCCTCAAATTAAAGCGGATAGTCTGCAGTTAAAGTACATCTTGTTCGTTTCATTTCAAATCCATTGTGGTGGTGTATAGAGCCAAAAATGTTAGAATTGTGTCGATGTTCCAATATTTATGGACCTGACTGTATAGACAGATATAACATCAGTGGGATGTCCAGCCAGCAGTGCTGTGTGTGTGCATAACAGCACACAGACATTGACAGAAATGCCATTATTTCCAGCCATTAAGTCTGTATATAGTCAAAGGTCTCCACCATATATGATTGTGGATTTGTGGTCATTATGGTCCATACAAAGCAGATGAACACCATTTGATCCCATAGCTCCACTTGGATTATGGAAAACTTTGATCATTTTTATTGAAATATGGATCTCCAGTAACTTACTAGTAAACGGTGGTTTATTTTTGTTTGCACACATACACATGGTTGTTACACAGTTCGGGATTAGGGATGAAAATGTCACCACCCTATACCAAATTACTTCATGCTTTATAGCATGTTCAAATAAAAGGGTAGTGCAGCGCTAAGAACAATCTAAAAAGAAACAAATCCAAAAAGTGCAATATGTAAACGAATAGTATAAACGCACATCAATAATGGGTGCATTATAATTTTAAAAAATTTGCACATCAGTTATAGGTGCTTCTTGGACTTACTAATGCATAAATAATGTATAGAGTCAAATAGTAATATGCATAATAAACATATAGGTATAAATGCGTAATAATCTTGAAATATCCTTAAAAAAGAAAATTCTGATCTCCAGATAACTCAATTAAGTCCCAGTGTGCATATAATCCTCAGGTGCATGTGCTGATAAATGCATGAAATGCGCACTCACCAGATGCGCTAATAAAAAGTGAGTTGTATCAAGTATTGTTGATCAGCCACGGGTCCCTTCTAAGGGTAGTCCGGGATGTAGCCTGGGGTTTGATGGCCTTCCTCTAGAGACAGGATTGGAGTAGCCAGTAAAGGTAGTTCGGCCTCTTCCAGGAGCTGGGACATTCGCTGGGGATCGCTAGGGGATTAAGGTGCTCAGTGCAGAGTGAAAGAATAGGGATAATGACATAGTGTAGTATTTTTCAATGGTACTTTAATGGTAATAAGGAATAAATCCAAAAAACGTACAAATACTGCAGTGTCGGATAGAGGCAATATAGTGACAATTTCACACAAATAAAACTAACCAGCTGGTGTTATTAGGTAGCCGCCGGACCACCGTGATCCGATGGCTTGATGTCAACGGCTTGCAGGGGGACCTCCTTACATTTTTTTTACGTTCATAGAGCATGTTGTTACTACTGATCCCACTGATCTTATATCTATCTATATAAGCTATATACCGGCTGACAGCCTGGATCAGCTGTGAGGATCTGTTTTAGCTTATTTTAAGTGTCTGTTTTATTTTAGATGCAACTTCAAGGTTACATTTAGGTGTTAAAGAGATACACACTGTAATATTATCAGTTATCTTACTGTCTTGGGGATTATCTCACTTATAAGGGGTTTTGTTCTTTCTTTATTTTTCACTGGTACACTTCGGGCAGTTTCACATTTCTCTGCTGCGCTTTAGCTGAAGCACAGCTAACCCCTGATCTTTGTGCGGGTTAGCTGTGCTTTACCATAGACTTCTATAAGATTCTGTAGTTTTAGTGCAGTTTCAGAAAGCGCACCAAAACTCCTGCATCTTTGCTGCACTTTCTGAAACCGCACCAAAACCACAGAACATCATAGAAGTCTATGGGAAAGTGCAGCTAACCCATATGAAAACCGCAGGTTAGCTGCGCTTTTGTCCAAAGTGCAGTGGGATCATACTGGGACAGTTCACATGTGTTTAATGGAAAGCTTCTCAAGTATTCCCAATACCTGCAGGGGGCACCTTTATACCCAGTGTTTTGTACAGAATTGCTAAAACAAACTAGCAGTAAAAAAGAGGTGTGTTGCATTGCATAAGAATGAATGCACATTGCAGTGTCTGTCCAACTTTAACACTGTAGTCCAGTTGATTTTATTAATTCTTCCAGCAACCCCCTGCTTTTCAATCTTGCACCTGCATGCACAAAGCAATAGTTCAATGAATCTCTGTCAGTACCTGCATCTGTGCTTTCAGTTGCAGAAGAAAAGACAGAGCATTGGAAGTCTCCCAGTGACACTCCAACGTCTGTCCCTTGTGGAATTCCACACCAGTCGTATGAAGATTTTCCTGCTATGCACCCCGCATCTAAAACAGGAGGCAGCAGAGAAACTGGAAAGCCTTGTTCTTGTAATCTAAAACACAAGAATAGAAAAACACCAGATCTTAATTTCAAATAAACTAAAAATATAATCAGTAGGCCCATGTTAGGTATGATACAGGCAATGCTCTAGAAGAGTGATGCCCAAAGTGTGGAAAGTGCCCTGATTGGTGGTACACTTCTGCACTTTTGGTGGTGCACAGCAGTTGTAAAAGGGTCCATAATGGCAAAAGTCTGCACCTGCCCCGCGAGTACTGTATAAGAATACCCCATCTGAGTTTTACGGAAAAAAAACAGAGCACTGAAGAGCCACCTATGCCAACCGTAGGTCTCAGCCTATAGACAAGATCACTTGCCATCTGAGTTCTTCAATAGGCGGTATTTATGGATTGGCCTGGGTAAAGGCATGCTGCTAACCTCATAATGATTAAAACTAATGTTATCCTTTACAGCTATGGCCAATGAAAGGCTTACTGTAAGTAGAGTGGCTTTAGGCTTTATTGTACAGACAGTGGGGGAGATTTACTAAAACAGGTGCACTTAGAATACAATGCAGCTGTGCAAGGTAGACAATCACCCTCTAACTTCATCTTGCTCAATTAAGCTTTGGCAATTTGGCGACTTTGTTGGAGTCACACCAATTTTGAGAATAAGGGCATGAACTACTTTTTGCAAGTTCAGGTGCGATTTGCATAGACATCTGTGTCCTGCAAGTCACAGATGCTTTGCAAGTGGCACCCGAAGTCGGACTGACATTCGACTTTGAAGTCATGCGACCTTACTGGAAGTTACACAATTACAAAGTCGGATTGGTGTGACCGAAGACTAAAACCTGGAAGCAGACTGGTTTCCATGCACAGCTGCACCAGATTTAACACTCTCCAGTTTTAGTAAATAGTGTTACACTTATAGATGGTAAACAATACAAAAGCAGAGCATCGGAACCAACAATGCTAAATTGACAGCAATGAAGACTAATGTACAGCTTGCAGCAATCTTCAAGTCTTGCAGGAGGTCAGCCACTAATCTCTGCATATTTCTTTGCCTATTCCCCCCCCCCCTTACCTGGACTTTAGATATACAAATGAAAGGCAGCCTGCTAATCTAGACTGAATCATGTGACACTTTTTGGCGCAAGGTATCTAACTGCAGCTTTAGTTTATACTGTGAGACCAGACTACATGTTTACTTTTAACTGCATTGTATCTAACTGCAGCTCATGGCACAGGGTATCTAACTGCAGCATTCGTTTACAGTGTATGTACATAGTACAGGTTAATTGATGCTTTAAAAGCCTGCAGGAGATAAAGGAGGCAGTGCAGCTTCTAGTAATAAACTGGATTCCACTTGTCAAACACAGAAAAAAAACATGAGCTGGATGCTTGATATAGACAATAACCTTGCTTTTTTCAGTAATAAGACTCTTTGATTCAAGAGTCATTCAAGATAATTTAAGAGTCGGATACAATCTCTTAGAGAAAAGTGAATAACACCTTAAAAGACAAGTTAACCATTGAGAACAATTTACAAACTCCACCCCTTTTTAGGGTGGAACATGTAACATGTTCCCATTCCTGCAGCAGCTCCCCAATCCGAGCCCTCTCTGTGACAGCAAATGGGGGATCATTCTCCCTGTACCTGCGGTCACTATTTGAAAATAGTGTGGCTGTATGGGCGGAGTTTGTGGGTGTCATTAATTATGTGAATGAACTACAAGTACCAACATCCTTTGCGGCTGTTGGCTTGTAGTTCTTGTAGGCTTGTAGTTCTCAATGAACTACCAGGCTACCGTTGAGAACTCTTGGTAGTTCATTGATTCTTCCTGTCTTTGTGAAACTGCCTGCTCATATGATGAACAGGCAAACAGCTTACACTGACAGTCTGTAGGAGTCCTGCATTGCACCTGCGATCTACTGATTGCGGGTGCAATTCTTTCCAGGCTCCTACAAACAAAAAAAAATTGTAATTGTAAACTTTTTTACCAGCAAAAAAAAAACCAAACATCTGTACATTCATTTATTTATAAAGTGAACGTATCCATTAAATGCTACACTGAGGTCTAACATGATAATTCACTTACATGTCAACATTCCAAGTTTTGGTCCTGGTGTTAAAGTATCCCCAACTAGCTGCATTCTGAACAGACATTACAGGTGTCTTCATCCCGCACAGCATAGAAACAACGTAATCCTGGATTGTCCCTGCTGCGTCATATTCATGGAGGAAGTCTGGTCTGCCCAGTTGGGGAAAAAAGTCAGATTAATAGAATATACAAAAACTAAAAGGTTTTACTCATTTTTTATACGTACTTTTATTAAAGATGACATTTAGTTATGGCAATTCTTCCATAATTACCTTTGTCCTAAGTATGTACAGGGGTTGGACAAAAATATGGAAACACTACATGATTTGCAGGTGTGAAAGTGACAACATGTTTGTGACATGAAAGCGGAAGTGATGTAACATTCTTTTGCTTCCGTTGTGTGATGAGAAACCTACCTAACAGGTGGGAAGCTCCACTTTTGTCATTCACTGCCTGCACTGCCAGTAATACAGTCCTTGTCAGAGCTACTAACTTTCCTAGAGGGTAAAATGTTGGTGCCCGTTTAGCTGATGCCTCTGTGACTGAAGTTGGCAATTTATTTGCAGTGTCGCAAATAATGTACAATTTCAAGGGTTTTGATGGCATATACAGTTTCCAGGAAACCGTCATCTGATAAGCATAAGTGCGGTCAGCATAGTCAACTGACCGAAGGAGACAAAAGGACATTGTGCAGGATTGCGACCCCAATAAGAAAATAACTGCTGCAAAAGTGACTGCAGAGCTCAATCTCAGTCTTCCAAAGCCCGTGTCCACAAAAATTGTGTGGCGGGAACTCCATAAGCAAAACATTCACGGGCGAGCTGCAATTACCAAACTACTAGTGACCAATATTAATGCTCAGAAGAGGAGAGGGTGGAGCAACACCCATAAATCGTGGACAATCGATCAATGGAAGACTGTAATATGGTCTGATGAATTGAGCCTCACACTGTTCCCAAACAACGGACAGACATGTTTAAATGTTGAAAACAAAGTCCCAAACTTACAACCAGGACTGTCTTGTGCCAATGGTAAAGCATGGTTGCGGTGCAATCATGGTTTGGGCAGCCATATCTTGGTATTCTGCAGGCCCTATCATCACCATGAAAGGCAGAGTCACTGCCAGCAATTATGTACAAATTTTGGCTGACCATGTGCACCTCACGATGCAGACATTGTTTCCTGAAGACAGCAATATTTACCAAGAAGATAATGACAGCTGCTGTTGCCAAGTCATGATATGACGAGCATGCAAAGTCTTGCACCTTCCTTGGGCACCACAGTCTTCAGACCTTGATATCATACAGCCACTCTGAATATCATTTTGGAGAACAAGGTTCAAGCTCGTTTTCTGCCTCCAGCATCTGCATGGAGAGTGGTATTAGATTCCATTATCCACCATCCAAGACTTATATTTGTCAATTCCAAGGAGAATTCAGGCCATCTTGGATGCCAAAGGCAGTCCAACACCATATTAGGTAACAATTTCATTCTTTTAGCTGGTGTTTCCATAATTTTATCCAACCCCTGTATGTACCATACCTGTGGAATCCCCTTGGATGCTGGAAATCAGTGTAGTAGGCACCGGAACTACAGTGATCTCCACTAGCTCCTGGATCCCGCATGGAGTGGTTGCCCAGTTGCACTGTGAACACAGGAGGTCGATCACTAGGCACAGGTTCCATTCAAGCAACACTTTGCATTCTCTCAATTAACGCAAAGCATTCTCTAATTGGACAAGGTGGAGAAGAAGGGTTGTGACATCACAATCTCTACCTCATACAATCAAAGAAAACATTCACTGAGAAAATGCAAACTAAACTTCTACGAATGGTGCCTGTGTCGTGCGACTTATATCCAATTGGATAATGAATATTCGGAGAGATACAGAAAATCAATTGCTTCTAAAGCTGTTGTCTCTGCTCTTTTCATACAATATAACCACTCAGTACACCGTATTAGTCAGATTTAGCCGATTCTGTGAATGGCCACATTTACTGCAGACTGGGCTACCTGCAGCTGAGCAGGAAAAGTGCCTGGCAGCCTGATCTACCTTTGGAGGCCTAATGCTCTGATAAGAACTAGACACCTACAATACATACATACTCAAAGCTTTAACACAAGAATATGGATCTTTATTTTAGACATATGACTGCAATTTTTGAATCTCATTGGAGTCAGCTGAAAGTAACTGTCACTGAAAATAACTATCCTTACGCTGGTCTGTGAGCATCATAAGTAAAGCCTTATACCTGCTTTACCTTTATTAGCTAGACAAACCTTCTCTGTGTGCCGCTCTGATTTAGTTTGATTTCATTGGCGCTTCATTTTATGTGACTTCTAGGCTAAGCCTCACTTGGCTGCACCCTTTTCAATAGGAGTGCTCTGAATATCAACTTGTTGGACAAACAGTTGGCAACTGCCACAAAATCAGGGAGTTATGGCCCCAAGTAAACTGCCAGACACAGAATAGCAGATATAAGGTACCACATAACCTCTGTGCTTAGCTTCATAAGGGACTTAGGGAGGTGGGGTTGGAAAAACAGCAGTACATTACACGCATCTTCCCAGTAAATAGCTGTGCAGGGGGGCACAGCAGAAAAAGTCTTGGCCAATAAGGACAGGCAGGTTGCTCTCCCATCACAGCCAGATCATGCTAGGATGGATGTGCTCTCATACCTAGTGTGGTCAGTTTAAAATAAGATGCAGGAGACTGTCAAGATCACCAGGTATTTCACACAAAGGAAGCAATACAAAGAGAACAGGATACTTTTCCACACAAGTACATGGTTCAGTAGAAAAATATCAGGCATATGAAAGTTAGGGTAACATATCCTTTAATCAATACATATTTAACCGTTTCAATAGCGTGCAATTTTACACCTTCCTGCCCAGGCCAGTTTTCAGGTTTCAGCGCTCTCACACTTTGAATGACAATTGCGTGGTCATACAACATTGTACCCAAACTAAAATTTTATCATCATTTTCTTCACACAACTAGAGCTTTCTTTTGGTGGTATTTAATCACCGCTGGGGTTTTTATTTTTTGCTAAATTAACAAAAAAAGACCAAACATTTTGAAAAAAAAACACATTTTTCTTTGTTTCTGTTATAAAAGTTTACAAATAAATAATTGTTCTTCATAAATTTAGGCCGAGATGTATTCTGCTACATGTCTTTGGTGAAAATAACCCAAATTAGGATGTATTTTTTAGTTTGTAGGAAAGTTATAGAGTTCACAAACTATGGTATAGATCTGAATATTGATCAATCCTGAAGTACTGACAGCCAATCTAATTTCTTGAGGTCCAAGAATATCAGAACAGTACAGATATCCCCCAAATGACCCCTTTTTGCAGAGTAGACAGTCCGACGTACTTCATAAGAGGCATGGCGAGTTTTTTGAAGTTGTATTTTTTTGTCATAATTTTTCGGAAAATTAAAAAATTAAAAAAATTATTTTCACTATTTTTTTTTTTTACATACTGTCACCAGAATTACTTTGCTATAAGCAAGCATTTACCTGAATGAAATCGATTCATTCAGCTTTTTTTTTTTTTTTTGTACTTAGCTGTGATTTGGTCACAGCTAATCACATGACATGTGCATGTGATTAGCTGTGACCATTCACAGCTAGGCACTAGTATACAATGGATGGCATCATGAATGAAGCCATCCATTGTATACAACTGTCATGTGACCTGCTGTGATTGGTCACAGCAGGTCACATGGTACCAGCAATGGGAGCCGGTACTCGGATCTGTCATCGGCCGTGTCCGAGGTGCACGGCCGCTGACAGATCGCACTGCTGCGCCGCTCTGCATTAGCGCAAACGGCGCATGTGCGGGAGCACGCCAAATGGCGTGCACCCGGAATGCAGGGACACAATTGAAGCCGCCAAACGGCCATTGGCCGGGCGGCTAATGGTTAAAACAGCTGACAGGGGCCACTTTATGAAGCTGATATCCAGATTTTAAAAAAAATGAGTGTTAGATTTGACAAGCACACAAATGGCTAGGTGATTTGTATGAAATGTATTACCTGTTCTTTAAGTACCAGAATATTGTAGCACAACCGAAGCCCGATGCCACGCTGAGGTGGGACTGTGGCAGAGGTAAAGAGGACAGGAATTCTGTACTACATCGACCATCCTCCCAGGTAATGAGATGGCTGACTTCTCCGGGTTCAAAGAATCGCTGGTTTTCACTGTTTATCCAGTGACATCCTTATAGAAAGTAAACAGAGGATTTCAGGTCATAGTTTAAAGTGTATGTATAGATAAGACTTGTTTTTTGTTTTAGATAGCATGGGGAACAGTACAGGCCCCTGCTGTCAGGTGTATATTGCTGTCTGTGTCTGCTGGGCAGATTCATCCTCTGTGTCTGTCCTATTGTTATTTAGACAGAAAGTGATGGGAAATCTATAAAAAATATTTGAGTTGTCACCAGAACAAGAAGTGAGGGCAGATCTTTTAATGAGGACATCTGTTTTGGGGACAAATAAGAGGGGAATTCCCCTTACTTTGTGGAGATTTATTTTAACTTGTGTCTCTAGGACAGGAAGTGAGAGGAAATCTTCACAGGACACAGCAACAAAAAACAGCTCTATCCACAACTAAAGACAAAAGTTTTGGCAATACACTTCAGTTGTTGCATTGTTGAATTTCTGATTTACCATATGCATGGTTAAAGACTAAGGTATAAATAAACAGTTTGAAAATTCCAGCTGCTATAAATTTGTCTCATTCACCTACAGACATCAGTGAGAATTGTTTATTCCCAATACAGTTATTCTAGAATAGCTCATACACAGCCCCAGCATACTCTGTTTGTTGGGTATAAAGACTACAGCTAGCTATACACACTGAGATTTCTCTCATTCAGCCCCACAGATTAATGAGAGAAATCAATAGATACCGCCATCCACGCCATATGGAGTGGATGGAGGAATCTCCCTTGTTGACTATTGTATTCTGCCAGCCACTGCTCCCGCTGCTGTCAGAATACCTGAGCAATAACTGCATCTGATTGGATGCAGTCACTGCTCTGCTGAGTTTTCTACCTGGCTGCTTTGATTTTCAAAGTTTGTCAAACTGGATGGTACCGAAAGGGATACCCACAGCTTGAATTTCAGCTGATTCAACATTAATCACAAGATGCCTCAAGTTGATATTATCTATACTTATTCTCCCTGGATACTGCACCTTGGCCTGACTTCCAGAGGACGACACCATGCATTTGTCCAGACACTCCTATCCGGGACACCTTCTGGAGTTTTTCCCTGGGTAGGGCACCCAAGCAATCATTTAGGGCTCTTATTATCTTGCAGACATCTTGTTCTTTTCCCTGGAAGCAGATAACGTGAAATGATATGGTCATGGCAAATTCTTGACCAATTAATTATATTTTTTCCTAATACTTACGATATTTCTTCTGTACATGAATGCCTTATATGGAAAAAAGAAGAAACTGCGCACTGTTCTAAAAAAAAACTTTAAAAACAAATAGCAGCAAACACTCATTAGAAAATATCCAAACTAGTGTCTACAAATGTCAATAAATAGTGTTGCACTCAAATGTGAAATCAATCATATATCAAATAGACAAAATACCATACAATAGTGAAAAAAAGTGATGAATAAAACTAACTACAAAAAAAATCCCATCCAAGCATGTGCAAAATCAGAATGCCACACTTCTTCTCCAGTATTTGTATCCAAGTGCTACCAACACCATTAGGACACCCAAAGTGATATCAGAATGGTCCCTTACTGATTCTCTATGACAATTTTAATCAAAGAAAGGTTCAAATGCACTTGTATGGTGTTTCAAGGTGCTTCACTCTCCTCCAGTGACCCTCCAGTATCCCGTATGGGAACAAGGAACTCCGTCACTCATGTACGTATGGCATTATGGAAGATACATTTATGCAAGGTGCGAAAATACATACGCAGACTTTGTTGCCCCGAAAGATGTTTTTTGATGATGAAACATGTTGTGCGGAGCCTGCTGCTGACGTCATCGTGTTCTACTGCACTGTAGGAAGTGCTCTGTGATACCGGTTTAGTTAGTTAGTTTACATGTGCATGTATTTTTGGAACAAGTGAGTCAATACTTTTTATTATAATAAAATGTTAAAAGATTTCTACACTATGGAGAGGCCTTCTCTTTTATATCTTGCATAATGCCATACGTACATGAGTGACAGAGTTTCTGGTTCCCATTGAAACGGTTACCGGAGGGGAGTGAAACGCCTTGAAACACCATATTTAGCTCATTCTTTGATTAACATGGTCATGGAGAGTTGGTAATATTACTTTGGGTGTCTGGTTGGTATTGGTAGCACTTCGATACAAATACTGGAGAAGTGTGGCTTTCTCATTTTACACATCCTTGGATGGGACTTTTTTGTTGTTAGTTTTATTTATCACTTTTTTCACTATTGTATGGTATTTTGTCCATTTGATATATGATTGTTTTCACATTTGAGCGCAACACTATTTATTGACATCCTCTTTTATACTTTATGCGGTGGTGGAAGGTACCACATCCCATCAAAACTGGAAATCTTAACAGAAGGAACCTGGACTTGAGGCACCACACTAACACAAAAATATATCTTTAAAAATACACCATTTCATACCAATAGTGAGCAGTGTGATTGTCTGCCAGTGAACAGCTACACAAAGTCTGGCTGCGTTCAACATAGCGAATTGAAATGTTGTTTATGTAAATTAGAGTGATGTAATAAGCATTGCGCAGGAGTGAAATCCAGAGGGAGGCCTGAGACTGCCACTGTTATACGGTGGTCTTCGCTCCAGTTGGATTGTACCATGCCACCAAATATGTATCAAGGTGCCAGTATTCATATGAAATCTCCAGCACGTGTCAGAGACTTCAGAGAAGTATTTTTGTGTGCATCAGTTTTAGTATATATTCACCGAATGTTTGTTAAGCTTTATTTTTATGATGCTTCATAAGTTTAAAACCCCTTGGGGCCGGTGCCTCCCGGCCCTTTAAGGGTTTCAGAAGCCGGGAGGTGGGGTGGGGTTTAGGATCATGTGACCACTGTGACACGCCGTCACATGATCAGGAAAGGTCCCGATCGAAAGAGATCAGGACCTTTCTGTGAGTACCGGCTCTCAGCACACGTTTTTTTTTAACAGAACGCAAATGTGCGGCTACTCAGCGTCTAGGCCCAGACGCCGGGATGGCACACATTTGCGTTCGGCCGACACCAAGAGGTTAAGTTTTGTTTTATGATTTCCTGGTGATTGTCAGATTCATATTATGTACAAAATATAAAACTTTGGGAACCATTTAAAGTGATATTAAAACCACAATTAAGAACTTTCAGCAACTAATGCAATCACTGAGTATACAGCTTCTTAATCTTTCCCTATGTTCCAGTCTAAAGACTTCAAGTCCAGGCCAATTCTGACATTCCTCTCCTACATGTACAAAGTGTGATCATTTAATTCCCGGAATGCCTGCAGCATAGCGCTATGGCGGTGAGTCACACAGCTATTCACACTGATGAGTGTTCTGACATGTTCTAGCTTGTACTCTCTTGGATCACAGACCAGTTGACTCAGTCTTTATGAAGAAGCAGAAGAAATAACACGTGTGTGCGTTGCGCTGTTGACAGAAAGTGAGTGACAGCAATCTGGAGCAGTGAATTAAGATTACATTTTGTGTGAAAATCAGCTAAAGTGCGAGTGAAACTTTAGTTCTGTTACAACAGGCTCATGGTAAACATTCCATGAAGAAATCAAGTGTTTTTGAATGGCATAGGCGTTTTAAGAGGAGGCCTGAGGATGTCTATGATGACACAAGGAGTGGGCAACCAAAAATGTAAAGATGGAGTGCGAACCTTTGTATGCTCAGATCAGAGACAGAGTGTATGAATGATGGCAGAAGAATTGGACATGAACTGGGAAACAGTGTGGCAGATTCTAGCAGAGGATTTGGGAATGAGAAAAATCTACACAAAGATGGTGCCTCAAAACCTGTCAGAAAAAACATTGTATTCAAATTTCATCCAATCTTTTGAAGATTGCAGAGATGTGTGATATGGTTTTTAACCACTTCCTGTCCGGACACATTTACCCCCTTCCTGTCCAGGGCAATTTTCAGCTTTCAGAGCTATCACACTTTGAATGACAATTGCGCGGTCATGCAACACTGTACCCATATGAATTTTTTACCATTTTTTGGTGGTATTTATTCACCGTTGGGATTTTTATTTTTTTTGCTATGTAAATGAAAAGTCCAAAAATTTTGAAAAAAAAGTGTTTTTCTTACAAAATTTTGCAAATAAATAATATTTCATAATAAATCTTGGCCAAAATGATCTTATCTTTTTAGTAAAAAAAAAAAAAAATAAGCAAAATTAGTTTATAACCAAAAATTAGAATTTTTAAACATTTTTATTTTATTTTTTATTATGTTTTTGTTTTACATACTGTCACCCTAGCAGTACAGTGTCACCATGGTGACACTGGACTACTTGTAGGGGGTGATGAAGATTTTTTTTTTTTTTTACACTGATTGCTTTTACACCCATATAGGATGTAAAAGCAATCATTCTCTTTCTCTCTGTCTGCATTCTTGCAGTCATTGAGAACTATTGAGTGAGCTGTGATTGGTCACAGCTTGTCACATGGTACTTTTGTCACACAGGCTGTTGTGAAACGCCTTGTCCCATGTGACATCTGTGATCATTCACAGATTTCACACGTAGTAAGCAATGATGTCACAAGTGACATATTGCTTACTACTTTGCATGTGATCACTGATTGGCCAATCAGTGATCACATGATCGGGACCTCGTTCAGAGGTCCGACGATTGGTGTTTCACTGTGTCCAGAGGACACAGTGGGCACCAGATCACGGTGCTGCTCGCTACCAGGGAGCGCGCACAAGCAGGGTGCAGGGAGGCCGTTTATAAACGGCCACCCGACCCTGCAGTGCCACCGTCCGGCCGTTTATATACAACGGCCGGACGGGAGGTGGTTAACCAGTTAATTCCAGAAAATAAATTGTCACACTTCTTAAAAACATGCTTTTTTGGCTACAAAAACTACTTAGAACCCCCATACATTATATATTTTTAAATCAGAGGCCCTAGGGAATAAAATGGTGTGTTTAGCAAATTTTTTATGCCACACGGTATTTACACAAGTTTTTCAAAAGAAAATGTTTTTAGAGATGATACACTTTGATGAATTTTAATACACAAAAACACCGGATATAAACCTAGCCTTAAAATTGTCTATGTCCGTGGAAAGGCACCAAACTATGCTACCTAAAAATCTCCATAGGCGATGTTTTAAAAGACTTTACAGCTTACCAGTTTAGAGTTACACAGGAGGTCTGGTGCTAAAATTATTGTCCTCCCTAGGACGTTTGCAGTGATACCTCACATGTGTAGTGTGATCGCCATTTACATATGCAAATGGAACCATTCACATTTGCGCATGGGAACAGGGCGCTTTAAAATTGTTTTATTTTATCACAAAAAAACATTTTCAATGTCCCTTTATTATTTTTTTTAATTACTTTTATTGCTATCATGAGGGATGAACAACATCCCTTGTGATAACATGGGCTGTGACAGGTCCTCTTTATGGAGAGATCTGGGGTTTATTAGTTTCAAGATCTCTCCTCTACCTTTCAAAGCATCTGATCACACTGAGATCAGTTTGATCTGATGTTTTCACAAGACTGTTAAGGCCGTCACCTTTGCCATTCCATAGCAAACAACTATAATCCCAAAGTATTTCAATTAAACAATTGGCTACTCTACTTGGGGAACACCTGTGGGGAAGGTGAAATTGCTGTTTCTCAGATTTGTCTGTAAATTAGTTTATATTTTGCTTCCCATTATACTCTAGGGCAGGGGTCTCCAAACTTACTAAGCAAGGGGCCGGTTTATTGTTTTTTAAACTTTAGGGGGGCTGGACTGTGGCCAGCCAGAGAGGAAATTTTCCTCCTTTCATCAGTGGGAGTAAACATTGCCGCATTTGGTATTGGGGGAGGAGCAGAACCCTACCATTGTAAGGAATAGTGTCCCATTATTGTGGTCAGGGGAAGAAATGGTGCCCCATTGTTCGTGTCAGTTGGCAGAAAAGCGTCTTGTATCAGTGGGAGGAACAGTTCCCCAAGGGTCGGATATGGAAAACAATAATAATACCGCTTAATCTCAATTTTTAACATCACCACTGAACTTGGAAAGTATGTCTGCTAAGGATTTATGTGATATGGCTAATGCTTCTGACTCCATTATTCTCTACGGCCGTTCCCTTCTGTTCCATTACTCTCTACGGCCGTTCCCTTCTGTTCCATTA